GGCCGGTCAGCTGGGCGCCCCTGCGGGCACACCTGTAGCCAGTCACCTGGGCGCATCTGCGGGCACACCTGCGGCCAGTCAGCTGGGCGCCCCTGCGGGCACACCTGCAGCCGGTCAGCTGGCCTCGCCCAGCAAGCCCCTCCCCGCTCCGTCGCCCGCGGCCCTGGAGGTGTGTGTGGACCGCCTGTCCCGCTCCTGCAGCCCGTGCGTCCCGGCTGAGAAGCCGAGCGGTGCCCAGCCCACAGACGGCCCGAAGGGCCCCGAGGAGCCGCACAGGCAGCATGTAGACGAGCGCGCAGCCTGTCCTAAGCCAGAAGCCCTGCTCCCTGCCAAGGTCCGGCCCCCGGCCACGTCCGCGATGGAGACTTCTCGCTCCCCTTCCCCTCAGTTCGCCCCCCAGAAGCTGACGGACAAGCCTCCCCTGCTCATCCAGGACGAGAGTTCAACCAGGTACTGCCCTGGGGTGGGGGGTGGCCTCAGGCAGGCTTTGCCTTTTCGAGCTCCCCGAGTTTGGTGCCTCTCTCCTCGGGGTGCAGGAGGGGCGCCTTGCTTTCGCTCCAGGCGTTGCCTTTTAAATTGGTCCTGGCGACAACCATGTGGGGGAGAGGCAGCAGCTCGGGTGCGAAAGTGCTTTTTATTTGTAATCAGAATCCAGTTTAACTCGAGCTGGGTCGAGTGGAGGAGACTGTCCCAGGCAAGCTGGCACGGGCCCCTCAGCCGATCCCACCCAGCGTGGCGGGCTCCACGGAGGAGCAGGGCACGGGCTTGGACGGCACTCACCACCTGGGCTGGCTCAGGCGCTGGGGGCTGCTTTTTCATTTTTTTCCCACCCAAAGTGACTGTTGCTTTTCCTCACTGTCCTTTCTGTGAGTTTGAGAGGGATCTCAATAAGCAGTGACAGTACTTACGGGACGTACTATGGGAGTCTAGGAAGCCAAGTTCCATCCAACAGGTGGTTTGGGATCACAAAGGTCATCCTTGAACCTGGGCCGCTTGTTCTACAAGGAACGCCTGGATTTCAGCCAGCGTCCGGGGCAGTCTGCTCCGCGTGTGTCCTCTGGGAGCACAGTAGGGCAGATGGTGGCCATGCCGCCTCCAAAAGTGGCAGCCACAGAAGTATCTCATAATGCGCTGGAGGGAGCTGCTCTCTGAGAGTGCCCATGTCCCACAGAGGTCGCCAGGGCTTGGCACACCCCTTCTCCTCCGTCCCTCCGGGTCCTGCTTGTCTATTAGGCATTGATGAGATCTGGTTGCGGCGAGGGCCGATTCACTGTGTTTTCGCCTCGTTTTGAAGTAAAAGTTCGTCAGACTTTTTTAACGAGGAAGTCTGGACAGTTTTCAAGAAGAGAGACCATTTGTGCTTAGACGTTTTGCTGGAAAATTAGGTCAACCTGGAGGGGGCTTGTTTTCCTTGCTCGCTCTTTATTTTTCCCCTTCATACTTCTTCCTCCTCTGGAAATCAAGTTCATCCACGAACAGAGGAAGAAACAGGCTCACTGAAAAGTCCGTCGCTGAGGGTCAGGGCTCGAGAGGTAGCATGAAGGGAGCGCAGACGGTTCTGTCTGTTCCTGCATGCATGAAACGCTGGTATGTTCCCTCTGACGAGCAAATCTAAGCGGTATTTTCTGCATAGTTAATTCGCCTCTTAAAATCGCTCACGAAGGAATCGTATCCGAACACCTAGATTAAACACGTGACGGTTTCCGCTGCAGGAGCAGAAAAGACAAAATCGTTTCGATGTAGCCTTCACGCCACAGCCTTGGGAACAGAGAGGAAACTGTAACTGCCTTCACGGCCCAGCAGCCGGAACAGCAGAGCGTCTCCGGTGCTCCATAGAGTTAAGTCAGGTCTGTCGCCTTGCAGACCTGCTGTGAAACCCGCTGAGTCAGAAGTGAGCTCGCAGTTTTCTCGTTGTGACCTCGGCTTGTTCTTGCTTTTCTCTCGGCCACCAGCAGATGGCTCTCTTTCTCTGCTGCGTCCTTTAAAAATACTTGAGACAAGTTTTTGTCCTGGGGTCCTGGCTGTGGTGCAGTGAGGTATGGCCGAGGGCCAGAGCTGCCGTTGGTTGTCCGAGATGCAGGCCCATCGGGTTGGCCGGGCTGGTCACTTCCACTTGCTCTGTGTTACCTCTGGGTGCTCCAGGTGCCCCTGCAGCCCCTCGTACCAAGAAACGTTTGTTTGTTTTGTTTTGTTTTTTTTTGTTAAAGGAAAAGTATGTCCTTTAAAATATTTTAAGTGAGCCACTTAAGATAACACAGAAGCAGTGTGTCCCGTGCTGGTGCCAGATGCTTATCACTGGAATGAGGAGCATGCGGAGGGTGGCTTGCAGTATTGGGGAGCGGCAGGCAGGGGCAGGGGGACCCAGAATACACGGTGTCTGAGGAAGCTCGAGACTGGGGTCAGGGGCACGGTGGCGCCCGTGTGCAGTCCAGACACAGCCGCTCCCCACGGAGGGCCTCCCGCCGCCCCGGGAACTGCATGGCCACCCACCTGCTGTGAGAAATACTGACCTCGGCGCCGGTGGTCACGCTGTGCGAAAAGCCTGTCCGTGGCGGGTCCCCCTACAAAAGACCGTTGAGCTGAGAGGCTCGTCCGAGTCCGCACCGTCACCGTCGTGAAAACTCACAAGTGTAGGTACACCCTCGGACTCCTGTGGGTGCGTGGCCGACCACTGGAAAGTGGAAGGTGTCTGGACGCCAACAGCCAGGAGACGGAGTTAGGGGTGCCATGGGGTCCCCGCATCCCGGGACATGCGGCCCCAGGGACCCCTAACTCAGCTGCAGGCGCTTGAGTCAGGGTTTCCGCCTGTAAGGGGAGGCGCAGGTGCCGGCCGCATTCTCATCTTGGGTGGGGGTCTGGCCCAACTGCACTCTGCCGTCTCAGCAGCCAGCTCTTCCCTCTGCAGAATTGAGCGGGTGATCGACAGCAACACCACGGTCAAGATGGTGCCCATCAAGATCGTGCACTCGGAGAGCCAGCCCGAGAAGGAGAGCCGCCAGGGCCTGGCCCGTGCCGCCGAGCTGCCCGCGCTGCCCAGCGGGCTGGAGAGAGACCAGATCAAGACGCTGAGCACGTCGGAGCAGTCGTACTCACGCTTCTGCGTGTACAGCCGCCCGGGCGCCGAGCCCCAGCCCCAGCCCCCCGCTGCGCCCGCCGCCGGCGACAGCCGGGCCTCCCCGCCCGCACTCAGCTACGTGAAGGCCCGCGAGAGGACGGCGGAAGATCTGAAGTCGGAGGAGCTGGCCCGGGAGATCGTGGGGAAGGACAAGTCCCTGGCCGATATCCTGGACCCCAGTGTCAAGATCAGGACCACCATGGACCTGATGGAGGGCATCTTCCCCAAGGACGAGCACCTCTTGGAAGAAGCTCAGCAGCGGAGGAAGCTGCTCCCCAAAATCCCGTCGCCCAGAACCACGGAGGAGAAGTGAGTAGACGCTGCCCTCGCTTCTGCACGTGGCCGCACACGGTTTGGCCAGCTCGTCTGGGGCTTCACAGGGCAAGGGGCGCATGCGTTTATGTGTTTTCGTGATGGCTTTTGGGGGGCCAGGTTTTCATAAGGCTGCCCCTGGTGCTGAGCACTTTGTGGCTCTTAGTGACCGTCCCAAAAGAGGAGCCGAGGCATTTAGAACTCCGTTCCCAGCGGTGACGGCTTCAGGTCCCGGCAAAGACATAAAAATGCTGCATCTCCTGTGCCGTCCTGGCCGAGGCCAGCGTGGTTGACGGGGATGCTGGCAGGGCTGCTTTCTCGCAAGACAGCCCTTCTCTGCAGGGCTTGTCCCCTGCGGGAGGCTGTTAGCGGTATCTGGAGACAGTTTGGGTTGTCACAGCTGGAAGAGGTGCTGTTGGCATCTAGTGGGTGGAGACCAGGGACCATACCCAGCATCCTATGGGGCACAGGATGCACCCACAGCAGAGAATGATTCCTCCCCAGCTGTCACTGCTGCTGAGGTTGACACACTGGTCATAGGAGGAGAGAGGCTTAGACTACTGAGCATATGTGTTTATTAAAGAGATGTAGATACGTGTATCTGAGTGGATGAATTCGTTTCGATTGGCTTTGCAAATCGCACTTTTCGGCCTCTCATTCAGTCGTCTGCCCGCAGAGGTGTATGCGGTTCCGTCTTTCCTGGTGCGGGTGTGCCTTGTCTCCGTGAGCGCCCGTTAGTGACGGAGGGCCGGGGCGCCGCTGCAGTGTAGCAGATGAGGATAAGTAGGGTGAGACCAGGAGCAGAGCATGACACAGGCATCTTTAGACAACCCTGCTTAGCGAAGTTTCCCCCTTTTTAAGAACCACATTCCACAGACTTCAAGCGTGTCCACGTGGCAAGGTATTTTTTGCGCGAACCTTGTTACCTACTTTTTCCCCCTCCCTTGGCTGAATCATCTCTCTGACCGCTGTCCTTCTGTGAGCACCCTCCTTTGTCACATACCAGGTTGACACAGGCATCTTTAGACAACCCTGCTTAGCGAAGTTTCCCCCTTTTTAAGAACCACATTCCACAGACTTCAAGCGTGTCCACGTGGCAAGGTATTTTTTGCGCGAACCTTGTTACCTACTTTTTCCCCCTCCCTTGGCTGAATCATCTCTCTGACCGCTGTCCTTCTGTGAGCACCCTCCTTTGTCACATCCCAGGTCATCAGGTTGAGGGGGCGCGTCTCTGCGAATGACTGCAGCTAACGAGCGTTCTGGCGTTTTCACCCAGGAAAGACGAGCCGAGTGTGCCGGCGGCTGTGTCCCTGGCCACCAGCTCCACCTACTATAGCACGTCGGCCCCCAAGGCAGAGCTGCTGATTAAGATGAAGGACCTGCAGGAGCAGCAGGAGCCCGAAGAGGATTCGGGGAGTGACTTGGACCACGACCTGTCTGTGAAGAAGGTAGGAACGCTGCAGTTCCAGATGGGAACACGCTCGTAGACAGGCGGGGGGCGGCACACGTCTCCACCGCCAAGGTGGGCTCTGCAGCACGTGGCCGGGGGCGTTTGTCTTCATCTTTCATGCAGGACAAGGCCATTCGGGGCCGTCGTATTTAGCCCTTTGTGGTTAAGTCTTCTGTTCTAAAATCGGGCCTTTTCACCAGGGTCTCTGTGCCTCCTGTTTGTAATCTGATCCGGTGGCAAATTACCTAAGTGGGCACTATTCTCGTTCATTTTAAGTTCAACTGATTTGTCCCCACTACCCCGATTAACATCCAGGGGACTTAGATGTGTGCCTTTCAGCAAGTCACATGTCTTCTTCGAATATCAGGTTCAAATATCTGTAACCAGGTGATCCTAAAACTAGCAGTGGATGGTAAAGTGCTTGGTTAACCAAACAGCATCATCGGTTCAACTCTAAGAATTCCCCCAGGTACTCGGGGATCCCGCAGTCGACAAAACCGAATTCAGTCCTTCCTTCCCTGAGGGAGCTTTTGTTCTCACAGGAGGGGTAAGTGGACAGCCAGTGCATAAATAAATGTGTAATGCAGGGTCAGCAAACTACGGCCCATAGGCCAAACCTGGCCCACCACTTGCTTTTGTAAATAAAGTTTTATTGGAACAGAACCGCATGCATTCATTTACACGTGGTCTTTGATGGCTTTTGTGCTATAGCGGCAGAGTTGAGTAGCCGCAATAGTTCCTGTGTGGCCTGTAAACTCTAAAATATTTACCATCTGGCCGTTTAAAGAAAAAGTTTGTTAACTGTTAATGTAATATATTAGGTGGTAAGAAAAATTAAAACCAGGCAAAGGAATAGAAAGAGGTAAAAGGAGTGTGATGACAGAGAGGGCTCTGATAGGTGGCGATTGAGCAGAGTCCGAGCGTGATGTCAAGGGCCAGGGCAGGGGACCAGCAAGTGTAAACACCTGGGGCGCGAGCCTCATGGCATGTTGGGGAAGCAGCAGAGACCAGTGGCCGGAGCCGTGTGATGTCAGAATGTGGTCAGTGGCTACATAGTGGGTGGCAATGTGATCCTTAGGTAGGGACAGAATTATTGATCTCGGTGCCAATGTCAATAGTTTTATTGACAATAGTTTTAAATCTGCGTGGCATGTCAGCAAGCCAGACCTGTGGCATGCGTGTTTTTCTACAGGAAGTACTTGGCATAAAGGGATGAGGGCATTGCCAGAGGGTGTGGGTGTCAGGGTAGCATGTGCTGTTTATTTCAGGGGCCGTGAGTGCGCCTAAACCGGGAGAGCAAAGGGAACCAGCGTTTCGTGAATGTTGTTCATAGGCTTAGCACTTTGGGAAAGGGCTGCCATGGAAATACTGATTTATTTATTTTTTTGACAAGATTTTTGCAAAGGATTATGTTGCAAGTCAGCTTATTATGGTCAGTGGTTAAGAAATGCCGCTGTTTGCTTCCAAATATGATAGGCGTGTTTTTGGAAGAAATATTGTGACGCACGCATCATAGAACGTTACTTTTAATTTAGGAAACGATACGTCTTTGGTTTGAGGAATTAGAAAAGAAAGTGGAAAAATAAGCTTTTGTCGTGGGAGTTGGAGTGTGTTTTATTCTGGTGCATTCTCTATTTTTTTTTTTTTTTACATAAAGAATTACAAATGTTTTCAGGGGTTCATAAAACTAGAAAAAACGTACGGTTAGGACAGTTTTAGATCAGTCCACAGCCTCGATGTGGAGACCTGCGTTCTTTACAGGACACCTTTGTTTTGCCACCGTGTGGCGAGTTTGGGAAGCAGCACGCCTTGTTACCCGCCTGCACTGTTGGCACACGGTCCGTTTGCTTTGGGCTTGAGACGTGTCCCTGAGCTCGCCTCCTGACGACCTTTGCCCTGCCTACCCTCGTGATAAATTCTTGAGGCGACGGACATTTTTAGTTCAGTAAGCATACGTCGGGCAACTTCACCCTAAGCAGCGAACACCACGAATGACAGTTCTCCGTGGTGTCAGCGGCTCCGTAAGCCTGCCGTCCTTGGCGTGTCGCAGAGGCAGCTCGTCTCTGCAGGCTGTGGCACTGACTCCTCTCCCTCCTTTCCGGTACCCGCACGTTTGCTGGGTCACACGTTACGCAGAGCGTGCACAGGCAGGAGGAGGAGGTGAGCGCCGTGCAGGTGCACTCGACCGTCCCTCCGTGGTGAAGCGGCCAGACCCCTCACCCCACGTGCACCAGACGTCCCCATGAGACCTCAGCTGTCACCACCCCAGCAACACGCGGTGGTCACAGAGCAGAGTGCCAAATCAGGGGACTGAGGACAGAGATAAGAGATGGGAAGCCCCAGTGCAGGGACGCAATGAGGGGGTTCGGTGGCCGGCAGGCAGCATGGTACCAGGAAGGCTGGCCCGTGTTTACACCTGGGGCATCTCAGGCAGGCTCAGCCAGAAAGCACCCCGGCCAGATTCCTCTGGAGAACCAGAGACAGCCGATTGGGTGACGTCCGCGGTCTCTGAGAGTTATGCGTTTTCCTTGGAACCAAGAGCTGAGTGCGAGGTGTAAAGAGCAAAGACCTCATGTGTCCCCCACGGCCTTGGAACAGAAGGTGGGTGTCTGGGCCTGAGAGGCGAGAGGCTGTCGTGCCTCTGCTGAGACACCCGGCCAGCCTCTTCCTCCGTGAACTCTCCGAGGGCCACGTGCCGCAGAAAATAGGCAGGTGGTGCTGAGAGCCATGGATTTTCATCTCAAAATCTTTGGAAGTCGATATCTGCACTTCATATAATGGCCTTTTAAGGAAGAAAAGGAAAGTGTTTCTCCCAGAATGCCCAGCTTCGAGTGAGCCCACCTGATTGTGTAGGCTCTGAAGGCACACTTTCTTTCATGCATTGGCGTGAAATCTTCGTCGGTATCATTGCTCCAGAGTGATGAATCTGAAAATTCACCAGTAACACTGGCTAAGGGTCCTCATTCATCCACAGTCACCTAAATTCCTCGAAGTATTCAGATTGGGATCGGTGGCAGGCAAGCATTTGTCAGGGGAAAGCACCGTCCCCATCATCGATTTGGTGCTTATCGCTCAAGTGGTAAATATCTAAAAATGCGACCACTTTCTCAGCTGCGGGATTTGGGGTTGATTTAAACAACGTCTCCACGTAGGTAGGTGAACAGATACAGAGATACACAAGCGTGAGTGCACGTACAGACACACACACACACACACACACACTCTCACACACACTCTCACACACACACAGCATCCCAGAAACGTACATACTGAGGAAAGAAAATGTCTTGACATCCTAAACAACTAGAACCCAACGTGGAAAAGCCAGAGGCCATTCGCAGAGGCCGTGTGCTCTTTCCTAGGAGAAACGCCATGCCGATTAATCAGCAGTCAGGATGGAAACCCTTCGTGCGCGCTTCGGCAGCACATACACTAAAAAAAATAGGATGGACACCCTTTCAAACTTCTTACCGTTTTAATGCGCTGGATATCCAGACAAACTGGGGAGCCTAAGGCAGATCGAAGCCAGGGAGGAGGACGCCGTGCCCCGATTACAGCGCGTGCCTTTCACGTTGGTGGACTCTGTGTCATTATCATTTTTGAAGACATAAATGCTAGGCAGAGCTTCCGTTTCTGAGCATCGCCCTGACGCATGGTCAGCGGAGCTCAGGAATGGGCAGTGCTGGGCCCTGCTCCAGGGGTTCAGCCCATTTTCCCCGCACCTCGACTTCCCCGCTCAGATTGTCACCGGGATGGGTGGCCTTATAGCCTGCGAAGTCAGGGCAGCCGTTTCTCACCCGGACATCCAGGGTTGCTGCTGACCGCGCGTGTGGGCACTGAATACCAGACGCCAGGCTAAGAGCTTTACGTCCACGGGGATTTCATTCACTTTCCTGTCACTCCTGGAGGCAGAGGCTGCTCCTGAGCGATGGACGCGGTCTTGGAGAGCTCGATGACACTTTGCTGTCCCTCCGGCCGTGTGCCTTCTCTCCGCTAAGCTCCACGGTACTCCTCTGGGGTCAGAGTTTGGAAACTTTCCCAGGAGAAGGGATGACACCACACGCGATTTCCGTGGGGCCACTTGACCTAAAATAGCATTGCCTGTTATAACAGAGGGGGCTTTAAAAATCCTCATTGGACGTGAATATTCACATTAATTGTTTAATCTTTGTTTTGGCTCGTGTACCTGCGCATGCTTTCCGTTCAGCCCTCTGCCCGTGGGTTAGTCCAGCGATGTGTTGGCATCATACAGACATGGACTGAGCAGGTCTGGCACAGGACTGGTGGCAGCAAGTGTTGTTATAAGGACCGTGTGTGACTTTTAACCATTGGCCGTTGTTCATAAGTCATCGTGTCGGGGCTAACAACTCGTTGTATGTGCTGTGGGTGGATTTAACGGCGGAAAGATGTCCGTGATCGTAAGAAAGTGGGTTTATGCAGGGCGAGGCTCGCCCTCTAATTTTGAGCTGTCCCTATAATTTTGCAATGACGGAGACAGAGAACCCGCTGCTGTGTCTGCTGCTCAGATCAGACCGTGCGGTGCCGTTTCATCTCGGTATGGTGGCCCATTTAAAGGTCTGACGCATTTTATTTCTTTATTGGTACTCCTTAAAAATCAAGCATTGAAAGGGCCGACGGGAGCGGGGAGTGAGGAGTTAGTGTTTCACGGTCAGAGTTTCAGTCGGGGAAGATGAAAAAGGTGTGGAGATGGATGGCGGCGGCCACACAGCAGCGTGAATGAGGTCGACGCCATGGAAGGACACAGGTTGTAAAAGTGGGTGAGATGGTAAATTTTGTATACTGTATATTTTACCAGGTTAAAAAAATTAGTCACTTATTTGCGCTTTGCCAAGCTGAAATCAGTAGGTTATTCTGAAAGCCTGTTTCAGTTTAACTTCATTGACATCCCTTTATTTAGTTTGTAACGGCGAATCTGTGCGAAGGACACTTTTTAAGCACGGAATTCAATACTGGACGTGAGTGAGACTCGGTACCTTCTGCACGTGCGGTCTGTAAGTCGGAAACTTCCAAGATGAGGCACCAAGTTTCACACCAGCCGTGAGAAGTTTCGCAAAGATTGAGTTCAAAATGCAGGTTTACTCTGAGGAGCCCGAAGGAGGCTATTCCTGTAAAATCTGATAGGACATTAAGAACACGAGAATAGATTTATTTTGCTTAATTTCTAAATTAAATGCCAGAGATTTAACCAGGGGCCGTTATTCCTACCCCCGGCCTTTTGAGTCCTCCATTGTCTGGCGGTGCAAAGTCGAGTCACACCCGTGTGTGGAGGCCACACGGTAGTTCCGTGGTGGCTGGTGGCCCTGGGCTCGGGGTGACCCTAATGAGTGTTTGCGTGCCGCCCTGTGCCCTGCAGCAGGAGCTCATCGAGAGCATCACCCGCAAGCTGCAGGTGCTCCGGGAAGCCCGCGAGAGCCTGCTGGAGGACATCCAGGCCAACGGCGTGCTTGGGGACGAGGTGGAGGCCATCGCCAAAGACGTCTGCAAGCCCAGCGAGCTTGACAAGTTTCGAATGTTCGTCGGAGACCTGGACAAGGTGGTGAACCTTCTGCTGTCGCTCTCAGGCCGCTTGGCCCGTGTGGAAAACGCCCTCAACGATTTGGACGAGAACGCTTCTCCTGCTGACCGGGTAGATGCACACGCCTTTGACCTGGAAGTCGGGGGCGGGGGGAGGCCCATGGGAAGCTTTCCCTGGGGGTGTCGAATGAACGCCTCGAAGGCTCACACGGCTCATGCAGCGGCCTGTCCAGCTCGTAATGCAAGATGCTGTTGATGCATGGACGCCCTCTCTCTGGCGACCGAGGGGTAACAGACTGTGAGTTAGGGCTGTTGTCATCGGACGCCAACGGCAGGATGATGCTTTAGGCAGCTGGCCCTGGCTAAGCCCTTTGCACGTTTGGAGTCCCCTGATCACTTTGTGCTCGTCATGGCCATTTCCGTTAGCTGCTCAAGGCCAGAGGGAGGAATCGGAGGCCCTTCCGGGGCTGGGGGTGCTGGGACCGGAGCCTGCCGGAGCCCCGAGCTTCGTTCTGTTCACGTTGTGAGAATTTCCTTGCGGATCCCGCCAGATTGCCGGTCCTTAAGTTGCGGGCCGTCAGGGGCCTCCGTGGGACCCGTCCCCGGAGATGCCGGTGTTTTGGAGACGTTGGCGGGGGTCCTTGCTCCAGCCCTGGTCCTCAACGGGCTCCTTTCTCTCTCCACAGCAATCTCTGCTCGAAAAGCAGCGGGTCCTCGTCCAACAGCACGAGGACGCCAAGGAGCTCAAAGAGAACCTGGACCGCCGGGAGCGCGTCGTGTTCAACATCCTGGCCAGCTATCTCAGCGACGAGAGCCTGGCGGACTACGAGCACTTCGTGAAGATGAAGTCGGCCCTCATCATCGAGCAGCGGGAGCTGGAGGACAAAATCCACCTGGGCGAGGAGCAGCTGAAGTGCTTGCTGGACAGCCTGCAGCCCGACAGGGACAAATAGGCGGGTCCTCCCTGGCCGGGGGCGGACGCCGGGCCTTCAGCTCCGTCGTCCAGGACGCCAGCGGAAATCCCCGCCTGTATTTATGTCCTGTGCTGAGCAGCCTCCGCTAACGAAATGGCGGTTAGAAAAGCAATAACTCGCGTGTTTGTTCAGGTTGATTTATTTAATTTTTCAGGTTCCCTTTTGAACGCTGAACTGAGTGGCTCAGTATTAGCCATGTTCTTTTACAAGTGAGCACACGTGGCCCTGGGCTCTGGTGGATGGCACGTTTCTGCGGTGTAGCCTGTGGGCTCCGGTCCTGCAGCACATGCCAGCGGTCATTTGCAGTGGCGGGTCCGCCCCTTCGTCCGGTCCACAGAGGCCGAACCAGCCGCTCGGGAAGTGGCTGAGTGCGTCTCTAAGGTGCCTGAGAGGGGAAAATCCTGGCCCACGTCTGCGCTCATGGTTCATCGGTCCACGGGTGTTGAGCATTCGTTGTCTCTGACCCAGCAGAAACCACGATGATAATTTATTAACGTTTTGGAAAGATGAATAGTTTCCAAGCGGTTAGAAACCAACTGTGACATGAATAATCTATGTGTTAGGTTCCGCTCCTTCTAAAATCGCCACTTAAACTGTGCGCATGCTTTGAAACACACACACACACACACACACACACACAAAGCGAAGAGCTTGAGTACGTCTCACCGGACAGCACGAGTGAAATGACGCTTTCCCGCACCGTGAAGTTACACACTTAAAAGTGTGTCCAGTAGTGATGTGCTTGCTAGGTATTTGTTTCAGGAGACCAACAGGATAGTTCTTAAATTACTTTTTCCCCCAGAACATTTATTTTGTGCGTCCATGGTCACTGATGATAACTGGCCACTCTTCTCTTCTTGCCTCTTTGAATCTGTCACCACGCCATGACGGCCATGCTTCGTGTACTGTAAGAACCTTCCTCTGGCTTTTCAGAGGTCCCGTGCACCGTACAACTTTGTCACAGAGTTTACAGATTCTGTGCCCTTTTTATTGGATGGAATTGCCAGATTCTAAAGAGAGCAGCCGAGTCACTTAACAACAACAAAAAATAACCAGTTATGCTATGAGCTTCTAGTCGACAAGTCACAGACTGGGAGACAACATTTGCAAATCGCACATTTGAAACAAAGGAGTTGTCTCCAGAATATAAAAGAACTCTGAAAAGTCAACTAGGAGAAAACAAACTGCACAATTAAAATGCGGGCAAAAGATTTCACCAAAGAGGATATATGGGTGACAAATAAGCACGGGCAAAAGACGTTCAACTACCAATGGCTTGATTATAACCTAACTTATTTTTACCTAAATCATTGTAGAGCCGGTATATTTCTTCACAGATGCTCATCTGATTAGATGCATAGTTCATGCTGGGAGAACCCCTTGGATGAGTTCCCATCAAGGTGATATTTGGACATTCGTTTGATGGAGGGATCATTTTAACCCTTGTCTCCCCGTATTCCCATAAAAGACGTTTTCCAGCAGGTGGAGAGATGTCTGTTTGTCAGCGGTGACTGCTGCCTTACCAACACGCACACGCACGCTCACGCACGCACACACACCCGAAGGACATACACTGTCCATGCTTCATGAGCCAGAGGGGTGAGCCAGCCCCCTGTGCAGGTGTGTCGATGGCAGTGTGCTCTGCAAACGGGCACGCGTCAGGAACGCAGGCAATAAACACTGGCTTTGGCAACACCCAAAAGGGAAATACCTTCTCAGAAGCGTTCATGCGTATTAAGCTATATCTGACTTGAGAAAAATCTGCCCATGATGTGTTCTCCTCCCTTCCCCCCGGTGTAGTCAGTCACTCGCTGTGGAAACTGGTCATTTCGGGAGAGGTGCAGCTGGCCGTCCGCGGACCTCGTCTCTCCCCGTCGGGAGCACAGCCAGAGTAATTTCAGTGTGTGTGCTTTTTAATTTTGACCAAGCTTTTACCTGTGATTCGTGCCCCTCTGGTATGATATTGTGATCATTTTAATATGTCTGTAAAATGTGAATGATGGAACTCGCTGTGTCTGTATCCAGCCTTCCGATGTCTTTTGAGGAATTTCTGATCCATAGCAATCTGTAGTGCTGTCTCCCTTGCAGCAAAGTTCCTGTAATCACAACTGTCCTGTCCAGTCCCCTGTTTGCCTCTTGAATGTCTGGTTAGCGGGGACCCAAAGATTCCAGTGAGTCAGCATACATACCTTTGTATATAGTTACATTATTGCATATAAAAAGAATCTGGTGCTCATGTTTTCTCCTTGGCATTCTTAGATGGCGGCCGATGCCTCACCCCTGTCATAGCTCAGCTGTGGAACGGTCTCTCGCGGATTTCCGTCCGGGCTCCTTACTGCCCGTGCCGTGTCTCCTGCCTTTCGCTCACGTGGAAAGCACGTGCAGGTTCTGTGCTCGACACGACTCACCTCTCACCAGATCAATCTGCTTGATTTTAACAAAATAAACAGTGTCTTTGAGTGAACGGAGCCTGTCTTTGATTGACGTAGATGACATCTTTTTAAAGACTCAGAATGGTCCTCAACACGTCAGATTAGCAAACCTTTGCTAAATGGTGGGATTGAGTGTGAGAGTGTCTGTGTGTGTGTGTGTGTGTGTGACTCCATATGCCAGTCTAGCTACGGCCGATCAATGTGCAGTCAGAAGTCAGGCGTGTGTGTGTGTGTGTGTGTGTGTGTGTAACTCCATATGCCAGTCTAGCTACGGCCGATCAATTTGCAGTCAGAAGTCAGCGACGTGGGTCATGAGCGCTTGGCCACAATACGGCTGTGCACACAACAGTACGATCTCTGCAGCATCCAGTGGGAAGAGTGTTTCTTTAGCTCGTGAATATGTAGACCTGGCGGGTTCCCTTCCGTGTGCCTCTCATCTTCCTGTTGGGACCAGCGCTCTGGCCTGGGCGGGTCAATGGCAGATGCGCGCGATAACAAGCCTAGTGACAGAGGTGCTTTTCGCGTCTCCGGTCCTAGCAAAGCTGCTAAGCTCACGTTGCCAAAGCAAGTCCCACAGCTGAACCCAAGGTCAAAGCAGGTGGGATGTGTGTTCTCCTCAGTGGAAGGAACTGTAAAGTCACAGGGCGGAGTGTGCATGCGGGGGGGTGTGACGCGTTGGGGCTGTCGGTAGATTCCACTCTGCGTAGCAGTTCCCACGAGGATGGGGCAGCTCTAAGGTATCCGGACCGGAAGCCAAGTTCCTGGAGCAAAGCCACCTCTGTCCCTTACTAGTCATATTGCTGTGAGATCAACTGAGGTAATACAAGTTCACGTGCTCAGAGCCTGACTAAGTGCCATTTTTAGTGTTTTAATCGCTCTTGACGTGGCCTGGATGAAACGCCTTTTCTGCTTCGGAAGCAGTCTGTCAAAACTCGCCAAGGGACGGTGATTGCTTTCGGTGGCTGGGGTTAGAAATGCTGCTCTTCGGAGCGGGTTCGCGGCCCCGGAAGGTTACGTGATTGAGAGGGAGGGGTTCTTTTAAATGAGAAATCATTCAAAATTAAAGAGCGAATCTTTAGAACAGGAAAACATTCACACACGTTACAGATTTTAAAAAGCGGACAGGTAACACGCGTCCTTAGTCTTCGCTTTTAGCAGGCTACTTCGGCTTGTCATATGTGAGTTCTGAAATGATCGATGAACACACAGGGCGATTCCAATGAGCTGTCGGTCGCTGCTGGGAGGCAGCAATTCCCGTGCCACGTTCCGTGACCCGCTGACAGCGACGCGCGGGGGCTTCGACCCTGAGCACCGGTTTGCTCAGGTGGTGACGTGCGCGGCCGACAGTGTGGTATGCGCTTTGGCGTGGCCATCAGACTGCTTGAGGATGAGCTGAGCTGGGGACCCTGAGCCACAGTGTAGGACAGGGGAATCCATCACACGCTGGCTCCATCTGCAGCCCCGTTTCCCGTGCTGCCACGGGACGTCTACCCTATGAGCACAGAAATGCCGAGTGCTTTCCTCGTTTCCCGTGGAAACAAGGAAACCAAAGCATGGTGCGTTTCCTCTCGTACGTGCTGCGTCTTGAATCACAGAGACTCACATAAATGGATCCCCACGAAACCAAGCTGTGTTCCCCCCACTCCAGGACCTCTCCACCAGCTCCCCAAAATACATCGCACGAACCCAAAGTGAGGGAAATCCTGGAAAAACTGAACAGTTCTCTTGAAAGGGGCCGGGGTGATGGAAGATGATTAACAGGTGAGGTTCAACAATGAGAAGAGACAAAGGCAACGCGACAGAATGCACCAGAGCAAGGGCGGTGGCGGGGCGGTTGGGATCTGGACGAGGTGCACGGGTCATGATACATCGTCAGTGTTTGTGTTTCCATGCGATTCATTGTCCCGGGATCGCGCAAGCCCATGGATCTGGGAAATCTGGGGCACAGGATGTATGGAGGACTTCGTGCTCTTGGAGATGGGTTTTGTAAGTCCGAAATTATTTCAGAATGAAAAGTTAAAGAAAAAAAAAAATTTTTTTTTGCCCCCAACTTTTCACTTCATCCAAAGAGCCGTTTCTTGTATCTTATTACAAGTCCATGCTTTTTACCTGGTACGTGGAAGCGCAATTGTAGTTTTGTTTTTTTAGTTTTTGCTTTTTTTTTTTTATCAACGGGAGGATCCACCACAACAGGACTCACCGCCTCTGCATGGTGTTTGTGTGTGTTTGTGACCCCTGCGCCCGTGAGCCTGTGTACACCGGGTTCTCAGATAATGTCATTTCGTCAGACCGTTGATGAGGGAAAAAAAACTTGCTGGCCGGGCCTCTCTCTGCTTGGGTGTCCTCGGACCACTCCCCTGTCCTCGGAAATCCCAGAGGTGTGCGGGTGAGGTGAGCTGGCATGTCCACACTGTCCCAGCCTGAGGTCGGGCGGGTGTGGGTGTGAGTGGTCCTGAGCTGGAAGGGGGTCCTGTCCGGGTGGTTTCCACCTCGTTCCCTGAGCTGGAAAGAGCAGGTTGGAAAAGGATGATCTTCCTTGGTATTCATTTTTCTTAAATGGATGCATAGCTCGCATTTATTGGGAAGTCTCACGGTAGAAGCGTTTGGGGTCTTTACTTCGAAGTTTGGTGATGTTTTTTGTGACCAGAAATGTGTTCTGACAGCACGCAGTGTCTGTCTTCATATAAGACCATGATCTTGAAATTTGATTTTGTGTACATTTGTATCCAAAGAAGCCTTAGGCATGATAGAAAATATAGATACATAGGCATGTGTGTATGTGTGTGCGTAAGTATCCGTAGCTAACAATATGTAACTCATATTCGGGTGGCATTTTGTACGCTTTACGAAGAGCCACCCACCAATAATGACGTAGCCACCCTTAGATCATAGACCTCGGGTGCAATTCCAGCCTCCCCGCATCCATCACTGCCATCCTGTGGCCCGTCTTCCCCACTGCCCGCTGTCCCTTTTGGCATGGCAGCCGCTCCCAGCAATATCACCAGCACTGAGTCAGGACAAATGAAGCCTCTCAGGCCCCTGACACACACTGCCCCGTTGTGTCCCCGCGCTGGTCCCTTCCCTTCCCGTACCGGTCAGGAGACCAGGCTCTGCAGGGATGCAGTGCTGCGTGACGTGCTACGGTCACACGTCTCCTCTTCCCTATGTTTTCCCTCCCTCCCTCCCTCCTTCCTTCCTCCTTCCTTTTTTCTTGCCCTCTGGCTACCCCGCCCCCCCCTTTTTTAATTTTTTTAAAGAAACAGGGTTATACTAATTTTTGAAATCTGCTTTTTACTTAGCAACATGGAGAACGGTTTCCTTTCGTTGTTCTTCAACGTAATGTTGGGTTTCTGGGTAATAGGTTTTATTAGAAGGATATGAAATAGTTTAGTGAGCAAATTCTCTAAATGGGGTTTTTAGAATTTTTTTTTTCTATTTGTCCCAGTGATCGTCTCAGTTATAAAGTTCCTTTGCTGTGTTTCTCACAGATACCTTTGTACATATCTCCGTTCCTATATTTGGAATAAAGACCTTATCATGGAAAGGTTGTAAGTGAAGGATTTAAGTGGAACTTTGAGCCCTAAGTGCTGGCTAGCTGACCCTACGTGCCTTTTTGGCTGCCCTGTCTGTTATAGAAGTCCCAGTTTGGAACTATCCCCAACCTTAGGCCAATTCCTCACAATTACGAATTCTCTTCCCTGTCCCATACTGCTTTACTCATGTGTACCATGTTCCAACAAGCCTGTTATCCGAGATTCAACGGAAGCAGGTCATTTCCCACAAATTAAGTGTATCTTTCCCGATGTGTTCCGTGTCTGGTCTTTCACAAGTCAATCTCGGCCGTGTGGTAACCCCTGTACAGATACGTTGTCCTTGCTTATTTTAAAATGTCATTCTCTCCGGATGACATGTTAGATACCGTCTCCAGGGGCAAGAGAGAAAGCGATGAGGAGACAAGTGTGAAGGGAATGAGATCTGGAAGGAGGACTCTGGGGGTCCATTTCCAGACAGACACGCTGATAGGATACAGGGTGAAGAAAAGGAACCGACGGCTGTGCAGCGATCACCGGAGACTGGATGATGTCATGGCGTTCAGAACCTAGCAACGCGGAATGTGTAAGCGGGGGCCGGTGGGTAGCGGAATGTGCCTCAGAGTCGTGTGCCAGGCCCGCCGTGGACAGCAGAGAAAGGGGTGAGCGCGCCCAGCAGGGCTGGCCCGACGAGCCAGCCGCCCTGCCCTGTGGACACAGCACTGGTTAGTGGAGGCTGCGCCGTCTTGGTCACGTGGATTTTCATTGGGATAAAATGACCATATTATCATTTTTAAACGGTACAGTTCCCTGGCACTGAGGACATCCACAGCGCCGAGCAGCTACTACCACCATGTGTCTTGTGAACTTTCTCACCTTCCCCAACTGAAACGTGGTCCCCACTGAACCCTAACTCTCCATTCCCCTCCCTAGGCGCTGGCCGCCACCGTTCTGCTTTCTGTCTCTACGAGTCTGACGACTCTAGAGATCTCAGAGAAGTGGAATCATTCAGGATTTGTCCTTGTGTAACTGGTGCCTTTCACTCAGCATAGTGTCTTCGTAGTTCACCTATATTGCAGCAAGTGTCCGAATTTTCTCCCTTTTCAAGGCCAAATAATATTCCATTGTGTGTCTACACCACGTTTCGTCTCCCTGTCCATCCATGATGGACATCTGTGTTGTGTCCACCTCTTGGCTATTGTGAATCGTGCTGCTGTGTACACTGCAGTGCACATATCTGTTCGTGTCCTTGCTTTCCCTTCTCTTCGGTGTATGTCCAGAAGCGGGATTGCTGAGTCTTGGGGTAATTCTCATTTTAATTTTTTTTGACTATTTTTGTAATAACACTTAGATGTTATTTGCCCCTTTCTTTTTATTTCTTTTTTAAATCTTATATTTTTCAAACACACTTGGCATACACTGTTTCAGGTGAACAATGTAGTGATTAGACATTTATATAACTGACACTAGATTTATCACCCCATGAGTTTAGTACCAATCTG